AGCAGTAAGCGTTCCGTTTTGAAGGGCGGGGCAGTCGTTGTAACTATACTGAGACCTTAGAACTTATATCTCAAGGTAGGTGGTGCATTTACGTTGTAGATATCTATGGGATCCAGTAACCACTTAAAACCTGTGAGCTCGTTCACCCATCTAAGCAATAAAAAAATAAATATTCGCCCATATACCAAATCCAACCAAGCTTTAAGTAGTAATGTGCCTTTTATAAGTTCCAAACTACTGATAAATACAATCGAGTAAAATTGAGAATCCGATTACAAGGTACATAATATATCGATATAATGATAATAAAAGAAATACGTCAGATTAAATCGTAAAGGTTATTTTACTTATGTCGTAACTGGTAAGCTTAAATAACAATGCTCTAAGTCTTGTGGAAGATTTTAATGTAACTTCATGTGTCGATGCCAAATCCTATGTCTGTGCCTGTCGGATTCATTGTCTTCGTTTGACTTCAGCTTCACAGAGCTAGTGAGAATGCTTCAGGCGCTACCCCAATCTTTAAGTCCGAAGCATGGAGTTAATAAGTAAGAATAGTAACTCTATGGTCCGAAGGCAAAGGTCCTTGTCGATCGAAATACTCACACAAGCAGACTGTGATGCAAACGTTGCGTGCTCAAAGAAAATGAACCTCGCAAATAAAACTTTATCGTTTCCTCTCGTACCTAAATTACAGAAAAGGGCACATTAATCCTAATAACTGAAGTCTAAGGTCATAAAGTTTCGGCTCTGGAATATTAGCTGGCTATTCAAATAATGAAAAACTTGTCTTAATTAAAATTCGGGCTTATTTTGCAGCTGTAGCCAGCGTTGGAGGATTTAGGGGTGTATAGAGATATATAGTCTTCGCGGTATCATTTAAATGTGTTAAGAAAGAAGTCAATCGGTCGAAGCAAGATCGCATTCACACATCGATTACAAACGGGAGTGGAGCAACACGCAAAACAAGACAGTATCTACTCAAATGTATCCGATATTAATGAACGCGAGTGTAAAAACAATATGGTAAAACAATAACATCGAAGCCTAGTGAATTTAGACAACAATGTACACGTCTAGAAGATGAATGTGACTAGGAGATTTATGGAAATGGTAGTGCAAGGTAGAGGGGGAAGAGGTTGACCGAAGAATGCATGGATGGAGTGTGAATGACGACATGAGAGAGAGAGAGCAGTGAGTGTTGAGATAACAGCTGATAGAAGAGAATTACAGAGAAAAATTAGGTATGCCAGCCCCACTTAGTGGTATAAGGTGGCGAAAAAGAAGAATGTACAATGCGATTACAAGAAGAATGCGGCAGTTCTTGGTGAGCTTATGCATTTATTTATTCGTTGTATTCTAGACTTACATCGGGAAATATATACCTTTCCTACTTAATGAGATAGGCGACAGCTTTCCCATGTATTCGTGACCTCTTTTTGGGCAGGTCGCTAGTATAGCTTTCTACATTACATTGTCGTAACTCTCTTAAATAATGCTGGTTAAATATTATTTAAAGTTGGTTAAATAATGTTTATGGAAAAAAGTACATGATCAATACAACACGAAAACGTGATTATGAACATTCGTGTGTTTCAGTAATCAAATGTAATTTATGTTTAAGCTAACTTGTACTAACTTGACCTTCGTAATATGATTACATTACCGGCGATGGCGTGTAACTTGGTATGCAATGTACAATCGTGGGCTATATACTCAACACAGTTTTTTTTTTTGTAGCTTAGATGGGTGGACGAGCTCTCAGCCCACCTGGTGTTAAGTGGTTACTGGAGCCCATAGACAATTACGACGTAAATGCACCACCCACCTTGAGATATAAGTTCTAAAGTCTCAAGTATAGTTACAGCGGCTGCCCCACCCTTCAAACCGAAACGCATTACTGCTTCACGGCAAAAATAGGCAGGGTGGTGGTACCTACCCGCGCGGACTCACAAGAGGTCCTACCACCAGTAAATCAACAACAATATTCATCAACAACATTCAAATGTCGACATGTCCGTGGTATGGCAGTAGTCCGGAAAATACTCAAGTAACTTCGGCGTATCGGCTCAATTCACGCAATATAATAGAGATTTAGACCTTGATTGAGAACTGACATTAGATTTTGAGTCATTCTCAAAGTAAGAATAAGTTGAAATGAAACTTGTATTGCATTAAAAATATTTGCGTGTAATCTTTACTCATCCAAATGTCATGTCAAACCACAGACCCTATTATATGATTAGTAAGATACGTCGCTACCATTTGAGATTAATATTAACATAGGTTAATGATTATTAATGAATTGTCATTCGGCAAAGTGGTGTTTTTGGAACGAAGTTCCTTATGGGACGAGTTTTTTTTTTTCGGGCCGGGGCCGAACCTCCTACGAGGTCCCCGCGCCTAGGGGGCGCGCGGGGTATGTGAGACTCAATGATCTGCAGGTGTTGAGAGCAGATCGCGGGCCCAAGGATTTTAGGGCCCACCCACTAAACGACTCCCCTGCACTCTTACACCCGACGTCCGATCCGTCCGGGGTCAGAGTGGGGGGTTCCCGCGGTCAACACTACAACCAGACACGCGGCGCCACCCCGAGGACGCCCGACCGACGGGTCGTCGAGGCGATAGTCGACGACCAACGACGTCGGTCTCCGCGGTACGGCAGCCCTACCAGGCCGCCCGGGCGGTGTCGCTGGTGTTCCGGGATACCCTGTTGGGCCAGAACCAGCCTGCCGGGTCGGAACGCGATAAACCGCCGACCGGGTTGCTCTTCAACAGTATATTCGGCGACGACAGCGACGACGAAAATGCGGACCGCATCGCAGTCCGCAGCCGCCGACGCGTCGTCCCGTCCTCCTGGTGCCAGCACGCTAGATTGACGGTAGCGTGCGGCGCAGCCTCAACCCCCTTAGGTCGCCCCGTGACCACAATGCAGAGGGGTACGCTAACCGAGAAAAAACATCCGTAACGTAAGACTTTTATGAGGAATGCACACAGTGTACGACTTAACTTTGTAATAACGTACAAAAAATAACATTTTCTTATCATTCATTGACCAGGATCTCAGAGCGTTTGTTTGCGCAATACACTAACTCTTATGCAAACAACCGTGAATGAAGTGTACCACAATAAGTTCGCACGTTATCGAATGACCGTGGGTTGTTGCGAAACCTACAGTTTTATTTTCTTTAAACCTCGAATAGAACTTAAAATTAATATTTTTATAATAAGGAACTTCGTTCCTGTCCGGCACCTACGACACCACACATTTTTTTTGTTTCTTTTATTGGCAAACAATCGTACAGCCTATCTGATGGTAGGTTATCATCATAGCCTGTGAAGGTCGGTAATGCCGGGGGCACAGCTAAGCCACTGCTTAATGCTGATCCACAAACCTCAAAAGAAAAGGACATGACATAGAGCTCGGGAAACATCTGAGTGACAAAAAAGATCTCTGGAAACGGACTGTGGATGAACGCGGCCTTTCCAGAGAGTGTGGGTGAACTCTGCCTGCTCCCCTTACGGAAAGGGCAATGAAAGGTGATAAAGGTATCATTTCGAAGAATTCCTCAAACTACTTCCCATGGAACTTACAGTGTAAAGCACGCAGCGAACTCTCCATATTTTTTGTCTATAGATTTTTGCCTCATGGGACGCTACATCCAAACAGAAGTATTGCTTTCACTATGACTTCAGGCGCCAATCGCCTTCGCTCACATTGGGAGGCTACAATAGCCATCGCCCGCTTTAAGGCATGAGGTCCATAGTTGAAGATTATTGGCAGTTCTGCCAATCAAACTGGAACACGCAACTTGGTAGGAATAGGAGAATGTTAACGGCCGTCTGGTGTAGTGGTAAGTGACATGGTCACTACACAAGGGGGTTGCGGGTTCGAATCCCGCCAAGGGAAGTTATTTGTATGATAAATATAAAATGTATTTTCCAGGGTTACGGATGTATATTAAATATATGTATATAATAAAAAATCTTATATTTATTTCCGTTATCTGGTACATGTAACCCAAGTTCTTTACGAACTTAGCACGGGACCAGTTAACGTGGCGTGATTGTTAGCAAATATTTATTTATTTATTATTTATTTAATGTTGTGGAGATTATAATAGGTTTATAGAAACATTACCCAAGTAAGTTTTGGAGCGGGTTTGAAAGTTTCGGTTTGAATGGCGGACGAATACTTACTAACATTAATTACTGAATTAGCTGAGTTCATTTAAATACAAAATTTTAAAACATTAAAACGGTTTCTAGTTTCAGTTATACATATTTTTTATTTTTTTATTTTTTTTATTGCTTAGATGGGTGGACGAGCTCACAGCCCACCTGGTGTTAAGTGGTTACTGAAGCCCATAGACATCTACAACGTAAATGCACCACCCACCTTGAAATATCAGTTGTAAGGTCTCAGTATAGTTAAACGAAACGCATTACTGCGTCACGGCAGAAATAGGCAAGTTGGTGGTACCTACAAGTGCGGACTCACAAGACGTCCTACTACCAGTAATTACGCAAATTATAACTTTGCGGGTTTGATTTTTATTACACGATGTTATTCCTTCACCGTGGAAGTCAATCGTGAACATTTGTTGAGTAAGTATTTCATTAGAAAAATTGGTACCCGCCTGAGATTCGAACACCGGTGCATCGCTCAACACGAATGCTCCGAACGTCTATCATTCAATAACACTATTTAAAATTATTAATTTAAAAAGGTGATTAAAGGCTTTAAATGTTGTTCTCCTAGTAAGTTGGTTCCGTATTATGGTAGTAATGGTTTAAGGATTGATTAATAAAAAAATGTGCATTGAATTAAGTACAAAATATTTTATTTACATATTTTCAATTTTACAATATAACGTTTATCACTAAGAAAACTTTGGCAGATATTAATTTTAAATTATATTTAAAATTGAATATCATAATGGAAATCCAGTCTTATACGAGTAATTGTAATTTAATTACATATTAAAATTAACGAGTAGAATAAATAATACTAGTATTTATGGCGTACGTTTTAAAGATTATTTTCCTATGGCTTTAGCCGAACCGAGGACCTCGATCGCCGGGCCCGCTTTGACGATGCCGTCACGGATGTTCCTGCCCATTTTTTCCTGAAAAAAAAAACAATTATTATTGGTCTGTGAATCTGCTGAGAGCAATAATATTTATTTATTTATTTATTTATAACTTCATATACTAGAAAGTATAAAGGCGGACTTAATGCCATAGGCATTCTCTAACAGTCTACCTTAGGGGAATGCAGAGATGAATCTTGGTTGGTGTAGTGTGAAGGTGATATTACTTAAACATATGTGTATAATAATATATAACATACATAATGTTTATAGATACAAATACTCGTACTTAAATAAATACATCATAAACAAATATCTTCAATTAGATGACGCTGCTAACTCTCTGAGAAACAGTTCTCGAACCTTCGTCTTAAACGCTTCACGTGTAGTGGCCGACCTTCTTTTGAGTGGAAGCGCATTCCATAGAAGAATAGACTGAATAGTGAATGAAGAATGTAAAGAGTCAGAACTACATGGAGGACAACGAAGATAATACGTATATCTTCATCAAAAGCCCATTTAAATGATAAATTTATGTACCCTAAGGCTCTGCTGATTCAGCGGAATCATGTCTATTTCTGGTCAGAACGAGAGACTCTAGACGCAAGTGACAAGTGAACATTAACTCAATCATACTAACTTTAATATTTAAAATAATGTAACATTGAACTATGCGATGTAAACCATAAGATTAAGTCGATTGAATCGTCAAGAAATAATGAACTCTAATGAAGAAAGTACGAACGAACCAATTAAAACATTTGCAAAAGGCTTTTTGCTTTAAAACACAAGATTATAACAAAACAGAAAAGCGGCTTCAACAAAATAAAATAATCAATTAACAATTGAATATCTGTTATTATCAAAGATCACATGAAATACATCCGCTTTAAAAATAAAGAATCATTAAAATCGGTTCTCCTTCAAAAAAGTTCTAAGGTAACAAACATTAAAAAAAAACAGTCGAATTGAGAAACTCCTCAATTTTTAAGTCAGTTTAAAAAAATTACACAGAATTGAATAAAGAACCACTTACAATTTTCTTGAAGATCTTCCACCTGGGCTCGGGAGCAGCGCTGGTCATGCTCAAAGCCAGCACCAGAGCGAAGACGAAGGATAGGATCTTTGCGAAATTCATTGTAAGTTTATGTAAATTCAAAGGCGGACGTTAAGACACAAGCGGCGCTGTACTGATCACTTGATGTGCACTATCAGAATGTAATTAATTCAGACTAGTTTCTCTTTATATATACAAATTCGCGTGGTTTGTTGTTAGACGCTCTCGAGCGCAAGATAACGGGTCAATTGAGGTTAAACAAGAGAGGGAAGTACCGCCCGCTCTGATAAAAGTTAATCCCCCAATTAATGCTCTCCCAGTTAATGAGGATTGCGCATTTTTAACAAAGGTCAACCGGAAAATGTGTTCCTCACGTTTGAGAGGCAATCGTGGCTTAGATAACCACAACGATTCGGACTTGTTAACAAAGTGATTCACCAGTGCAATGTACTAGGCGAGTATATTATTATTATTGCTTAGATGGGTGGACGAGCTCACAGCCCACCTGGTGTTAAGTGGTTACTGGAACTCATAGACATCTGCAACGTAAATGCGCCACCCACCTTGACATATAAGTTCTAAGGTCTCAGTATAGTTACAACGGCTACCGCACCTTTCATGCCGAAACGCATAGCTGCTTCACGGCAAAAATAGGCAGGGTGGTGGTACCTACCCGTGCGGACTCACAAGAGGTTCTATCACCAGTAATTACGCAAATTATAATTGCGCGGGTTTGATTTTTATTGCCCGATGTTATTCCTTGACTGTTGAAGTCAATCGTGAACATTTGTTAAGTACGTATATTAAGAACTGACACTTGTGTGATACTTGTCTGTTATCTTGACTCAATGTATAAAGTTCGAAACGTCGCTAATAATTAATTGACTACAGAAAAACATTAACGAATAAAGGGATATTAGGATTAGAGAGTGACATACATACTTATATACGTTTAAATATATACATAATAATATATACAAGGTGGGCCAAAAGAAATCACCCTATTGGAAGATGCTCTTATTTTTGCAAATGGCCGCCAACGCGAAATCTGTTTTGACATTTGTTGACTAGACAGGTGTAGAATACAAGTGAGCAAGCGATGGAGCTGTACACTCCCCGAGAACGCAAAATAATCCTGTCTATTTTTTTGCGTAATAATTCGTGCCTCGCAATTAGCCATCAGCCGGTCGTCCCTAAGGCGAATTTTGGTCAAAGACCTGCGCATGTTCTTGTACAAAGTCCAGTCCGTGCATCAGCTGCTGGTTGTCGACCGCCAAGCGCGTGTAACCTGCGTCCCAGCCATCCTCAATCTCGAGGACGAAGTGGACGATTTTTCAACCAAAATCGTATTGAGCGATGAGGCTCATTTCCACCTCAGCGGGTACGTAAACAAGCAGAACTATCGCTTCTGGGGCACAGAAAATCCACGAGTGATGCACGAGAAGCCATTACATCTGCTCAAAGTGACTGCATGGAGCGCTGTTCACGCTGGAGGAGTCATCGTGGATTTTTTTTTTCGAGAACGCCGCTGGTCAAACGACAACAATGGACGGTGCGTGCTATAGGGCCAATTAGAACTGGAGGACTTGTGGTTCCAACAGGACGGAGCAATGGCACACACTGCACGAGCCACAACCGATATTCTGAAGGCGGCGTTCCCGGGTTGCCTCATCTCTCGTTTTGGCGATTTGCACTGTCCCGCAAGATCGCCCGATTTAACCGTTCAGACTTTTTTTGTGGGATTTTTGAATTCCCGGGTTTACGTGAACAAGCTCGAGACCCTTAAGAACAACATTTGAGACGAGTGAGAGAATCTGTCGCACGAAGTTCTTGCCGAAGTTATGAAAAATGCCATAAAACGGTAAAGCAATAAATTGTGACGGCGCTCATTTGACCGATATCATCTTCTCGACTTGACCAATAAAATTCTAAAGGTTCAAATAATGATAATCAAAAAACGGAATCGAAGTTTTTCATTTAGAAAAAAAATGAGAGCCAAACAACATCGGATGACTTTTTTTGGCCCACCTTGTAGATAATGAACATCTAACGGTAGACAGCTCCTTGGCTTTGCCACTGGCATTGCTGATGTCCATGGACGACGGTAACCACTCACCAACAGGTGGGCCGTATGCTCGTCTGTACAAGGGCAATAAAAAAATTTAAGACAAAAAGCAAACAGACCTAGTCATTCAATACACAATATTTGCCCACTTTGCAAATCGAACCCGCGACCCCCGGCGCGACCTACTGAGTCAGAAGTTTTAAATACGTTATAGACTAGCAGATATTTCGAAGAATCTATGGCCTAATTGGCAACGAGGCTAGATTGATTCGTAGTATCAACCATTTATATCGTGACCTTGTAATTTTGTTGCTATCGTTCACATGTACTGCGGTATTGAATTGATATAGAGTAATAAAAGCGAGAGCAGCATCATCGTGCGATTACCGGTGACGAAAATACGATCTCATATTGTGTTGACAAACTTAAGTTAATCAGAAAAAATTGAATTAATTAATAACTTACTAGTAGTCCCCCTTTGGACAGTACAGTGTACAGCGCGCTGCATGACGCCGTGGACAGGGGAAAGTGGAAAAAGATCCTAAGATTGAAGCTCATGGGTGATGGTGGTCACGACCCTCAGACATGAGGAGCACGACTCGAGGAGGAGGAGTAGTCCCCCAGTAGCCGAAATTCGACTATAATTAATTGAAATTATAACATTGAACATTATTATGGTTCTATTGTCAAAGACTTTACTTCTATAATCAAAGGTTTCGCCAAAGCTACACGGTAGACAAATAATATTAAATACAAACAATATTACATAATCTATTCTCAATTAGACCACAGACTTTAACAATAAACAAAAGAGCATAATTTATGCGTGTGTGTGTCAAATACATGGTAGTGTGTGTAATGTTTTTTTTATTGATTTAATGTATTTTTTATGCATAACTAGCGACCCGCTCTCGCTTCGCTTCGGAAACTGTATTTTATTATTGATTTCTCCACTATTTAATGGATGTTATTATATACCTATAAACCTTCCTCTTCAATCACTCTATCTATTAAAAAAAACGCATCAAAATCCGTTGCGTAGTTTTAAAGATTTAAGCATATATAGGGATATAGGGACAGAGAAAGCGACTTTGTTTTATACAATGTCGTGATTAATGCATGTTGGAGTCGAACTCAGTAAAACCTCCTGTCGCTCAACAACCCACGTCCGAACCTCGCATGAGTCAGAACTCATGAAAAGGCAAAGTGAAGTGCTTAGTGCGGAGCACATCTCTCCCATCACCTCCACCTTGGGGCGCCGGACCGGCAGTCGTCGGCACCACGCGTCCTCTCGGTCGGCAGGCTATCCGAAGCCCGCCTAGATGGCGCCGGTTAGAGTGGATTTTCCTACGGAATACCCCACTGGGTCAGTACCAGCGTGGGTCGGGGGTAGCCGGCCTTCCATCACCCGGATGCTCTTGCGTAAAACGCGTGCACAGAGTAACTTGCACGTCGTCTTCTTAGGCCTCCCACGCCGGTCCCTAGACTGACATGTGAGGGGGACCCGAAACACGTAGAGGGCCAGGGCTTGGGCGAGATCCGCCTCCCTAGCTCCCGCTCGACGGCGGCGTGCTTGTGCGTCTCTGACGCACCCCGGCACGCTGCCTCCTTCTGCGAGATGGTGCGCTCGCAGAAGTCGAGCATCGCCTTCCACGACCCATCGTAAAAAGTAAAGTATGAAAAAAAAAAAAAGTTGGAAGGCTTAAGGATGGAGGGAAGATCTTCCATCAAGCACGTGATATTTTCTCGGTAGAGCGACGGTCCAAATGTTGTTGTTCGGAACTTGTATATATGCAAGCTTAACTTGAAAATGTCGTAAGCGAGATTCAAGCATCTGTCAAATATCTTGCGTTGTATGATGGCAAAAAGAAGAAACATTATAGTCCTTGTGGCAGGTCGCAATGGATGAATGAGATATGGCCCTAGACGTCAGGTCAGTCCTCCTACTCGCATCGTTTCCTCGCTGCTGAGGGTCGTGACCATCATATTTCGACAGGCTGGTTGTCGGTCATAGAACTCATGGCAAATAGCAGCATGATAAGAGAACATGCTGCGCTAACTTCTTATAATGTGGAATAAGGACAAGAAGCAGCAAAAACAAGAATACTAGTGTCGTTATTATAAAATGTATTAGGGGTTAAAGTATGAAATTGCCGATTTGTACTGAAAAATTGAAATTCTTTTTTTTTTCATTTCTTCAAATTTCATTGATCAAAATATCTACCATTATTATCAGAATCTATACCTACATTGCTACCGTCTAATAAGAAAACATTTGTGCCTTTGCGATAGGACTCTGGTGATCTAGATCTTACAAACTGTGTGAAAGCATTTTCCACTGCCTCCTGAAGTAAACTTTTTATCACATAGAAAATTGTTCAAATCACAAAAAAAATTGTAGTCCGTTGGTGCAACGTCTGGCGAATGCGGAAGGTGACGATTGGTTTCTAATTGCAGTTCCTGTAGAGTTAAAACGGTTTATCGTGCTGTATGAGGTCTCGAGTTATCATAGAGCAATAATGGTGAAGATCGATTCATGAGTCGGAGCTGTTTCACTGCAAATTTTGCTATCATTGTTCGGAGTTCGGCACAGTAGACATATGCCGTTGTTGTTTGACCAGATCGGAGAAAGCTATAATGAATAACACCATGCTGAGACCACCAAACAGTTAACATTACCTTTTTATTGGTAAGCTTTGTTTAAGGACACTTTTGCGGTGTTTGACCTGGGGTCAGCCATTGCATTTTTCGCTTACGGCTATCGTAAGGAATCCACTTTTCATCACATGTTACAATTCGATCCAATATTCCTTCATTTCGGTATCGATTCAACAAGGCAACACAAGTTTCAGCGCGCGTTTCTATCTGCAGATCAGTCAAATCATGAGGCACCCATTTTTATTTTATTTATTTTATACTTATTGTACACAAAAAAAGAAAATACAATAAAAACAGATTTAAAAGAATGTCTAAGTACTATGTACAAAGGCGAGCTTAACTCATTCATGAGTTTTCTTCCAGCAAACCATTAGCAGAAAGAAATACGATATATAAGAGGGGAAAAGTGTACAATAAAAAAAGTATTAAAGCATGAC